TAGGAAAGGAAGGAAAAAATAGACATTTGAAAACAGGTGAGAAAACTCCTCTCATTTTTTTATTATGACGAAAAAAGGGTGCATGAACCTAATAAACGATCATAAACGACCTGGTGCACGACTCGAGTCGGAACATAAAGAAAGTGTGTGCACTATACTTGACTCGTGAATGACTAAGTGATGTTATAAGACTCGTGGTATGATCGTATGGCTAGACATGTGAACAATAACCAAAATGACTGACGCGAGGACCAAATTAACACGGAAGACTTAAAAAAAGCTGACTGGACTTATTTCAAGGGCACCATGACACGGAAAACTGTACCGTGTCACGTGACAAGCTGCCGTGACGCGGTGGTTTTTTTTTTTTGGGAAATCCACCGTGCCATGGTGGAAATTGCCGTGACACGGTGAACTTTCCCGTGCCACGTGGGATTTTTTTTTTTTTTTGAAAATCTACCGTGTCGTGGTAGAAATTTGCCGTGACACGGTAGAGTTTCCAGTGGCGCGGCAGACTTTTTTTTTTTTGCTGTAGGTCCACAGCGCCACGGTGGACTATGTCGTGACACGGTGGAGTTTCCCGTGGCGCGGTAAACATTCTCGTGCCACGGTGGATGCTGACGTGGCACGAGAATTTTTTTTTTTTTTTGAAAATCCACCGTGTCATGGTGAAAATTTGTCGTGACACGGTAGAGTTTCCCGTGGCGCGGCAGACGTTTTTTTTTTTTTTTTGCTGCAAGTCCACCATGCCACGGTGGACTGTGCCGTGACACGGTGGACAGTCCCGTGTCACGGCAACCCTTCCCTTTTTTTTTTGCTAATTACTAAGTGAGTACGGTCCATTGGCAATTAGTCATAAAATAATCCACCATAGACAAAGAAAGATCGTTAAGGTTAGGATCAAAACGACCAAACATAAAACACGTAGGCACAATGATGCAAAAAATAGTTCGCAACCTAAGGTCAAGTTCTATGTTCGACTATGGTCAAGTTTATTTGGTGTCAATAAGGTACCATGGTTAAGAGTTTGGACGCGTTAGCAAAGCAGCCTCCCTTGAGGGTGTATGCCAACGGGCGGCTCCGCGAGTTCGTGATGAAATCGAACTCGACTCCATGGTTTGGGTGGATTTAATAACTCGGATGAACCCTTATTACCATGAGCGTTTTTGGGTTGATAGAGCTTAAATCCCCCAGGGCTAAGACGTATGTAGAACACATACGTTTTTTTCAGAAAAATCGAAGGAAGTTGACTATGAGAAGAGAAAATAAGCCACCGGACTGATTTTAGGACTGCCGTGACACGACAAAAATTCCCGTGCCACGGTACTGCACACCGTCAGACGGTGCAATGTACCGTGACACAGCAGATTTTGCCGTGGCACGGCAGTCAGAAAATCTGACTGGTGCCCTGTTTTCCTTCGTACGCAATCAAGTTATTCAATTTTTCCTACGGGACAGACCTAAATACGACGTTAAAACGTCTGTGCATATGCAAAAATGCCAAATTAATAACATGAATATTTTTTCAAGAATCTTTCAAGTCTCATCCACTCATCTTAATTAAATACCGATCACTCAAATCGATAAATAATCAAGAATCCTCCCCAGTGGAGTCGCCAAATTGTATGCGTCGCTCGAAGTGCGCCTACGTAAAAAGCATGTATGAATATGCTTGGTACTCATAGGAAGTGGGAATTGACATTATACGATTAGGGACAAGGATAGTAGGGAGCCGCCAACAAGTTTTTAAGGAACTTGTAAACCGTTCACAGATCATAAAAAGGCAACCACGAATAAGGGACAACAAAGGCAACAACGATTGACCCGTGAAGGTTACATCCCATTCATAATCCATGAGATTACTAACTCCATATGGTTCGGAACCACGAAAGGAGGATCGGGGATGATGGTACGAAGTGAGTCATGGAGTCACATTCGCCCGTATTGGCCTCTACTCGATTCTTATAGTGAAAAGTGATTCCTGCGATCTCAAAGGCATACAAACAAAGATTCAATTTGTTCCAAACTATTATTAAGCTAAATTTGTTGAATACTAATGCAACACATAATTCTAAAATATCGTGATCACTTGATTAAACAATAAGATTAAAAAGGAGCCTAAACCGGTTGTCCAAATTATCTTATTAGGCGTTATTTTCAATTACATATTCCCTTTAAACATGCAATATGGTGTTCAAAATAATAATAGAATAACAACAATATTGGATGCAATTTAACAATAATAGTGTTAGTCAAATCAAATATAAAATAACCTAATCATGATACTAGCAATATAAAATAAAATAAGAGTAATTACTTTAATTAATTACTTACATTCAGCACGTTCCTTTAAATTGCTACATCATGAATAAACTATTAGTAACTTCAATAAAAAAAATATAAAGTAAATGAAAATTAAATTAAATAAAAAGTAGAGTTGATTTGGTCCAAACCCTTAGTTATTTGTACCTTTCACGCCTTGGTTTAAGGACAGAACTTCGGGTTAAGTATAGACTCCTTGGAGTGCTTAGGGGAATTATTATGGAAGAATAAGGAGGCTAGAAATTAGGTTAAAGAAAGAGAAGAGAATGATTTTTGGTGTAAGGTGAGAGAGAATGATTATTGGTGCCCCGTACATCAGAAATGAGGGGGTATTTATAGAAAAAATGTGCTGAGGGAACACACGGAACCCTAAAATGATAAAAACCCTAAAAAAGTATACCGTGACACAGTAAAGTGTACCGTGACACGGGAAATTCCACCGTCAGACGGGAAACATTCCTGTGACACGGTGTACTTTTGTGTGACGCGGGAAATATATACTTAACGGGAAAGAAAACGCGTTAAGGGTTTACGCGGAAAGGACACGGAAACCCGCGTGTCACGGCAGGTGTCCCGTGTCACGGGGATTCCCACCGTATGACGGGACAGGTTCCCGTGACACGGTGGACAGCTCTCGTGACGCGGGAGTCTGTGGTCCGTTTTTCCGTCTAAATTCATTTTGAACCCTAATTTCGTTCAGCATTTTAAGTGTCGATTGATAATTTCGGGCCATTTCTGATTTATTATTATTATTTGGGCTAAAAAAAGAAAATAAATAAATAAAATAAATAAAAGGTTTGGGCCAAAATAAATAATAAAACAATAAACTAAAAAGGGTTTGGGCTAAAATTAAATAATAAGTTTGGGCTAAAATTAAAACTATGCTTTTACCAAACATCAAGACTAATACGAATTTAATCAAATACGACTTTTTAAGCACTCTCGGGATTAAATACTGAACCCGACCAATAGTGGCGGTGAAAGGTTGTTCATCATCGGGTTTGGTTTTGGGTAGACATTTTTAGGTGTCTACAGAAGCCCCCACTTTGACTGAGTTTGTAGAAACGTCAGTTTCAAATACGATAGTCAAAGTAGTCGATAGGGATGGAAAATGATTTAAGACGTTCTGCGATCCTAAATCATTCTCTATACGCCGATACCTGCAGAAAAATGTTAATTCCACAGATAAAAGAGTAAAAGGATAGAATACGTAACTAGCACCAGTGTATCGGTGACAAATGAGTTTGGCAGCTTCCTATGCTTGAAGGAATCCATCGGATGACGTTTTTTGAAACGCTTTCCGTGCCTGAGGAAAGCCGACTGAGGAGTTTGGTAGTTTTCTAAGCCTGAAGAAACCTGCCGGATGATACTTTCCATGCCTGAGGAAAGTCGACATATGAATTTGGTGTCATTCTATGCTTGAAGAAATCCACCGATGATGCTTTCCATGCTTGAGGAAAGCCGACAAAGGAATTTGGCGGTTTTCTATGCTTGAAGAAAAATCCATCGATAACGCTTTCCATGCTTGAGGAAAGACGACAAAGGAATTTGGCGGTTTTCTATGCTTGAAGAAAAATCCACCGATAACGTTTTCCATGATTGAGGAAAGCCGATAAAGGAATTTGGCGGTTTTCTATGCTTGAAGAAAAAATCCACTGATAACGCTTTCCATGCTTGAGGAAAGTGGACAGATGATGAGATTTCAAGTCTTTGTGTATCGAGAACCTTACGCCGAGAAATGATGGTGGTTCGATTGTCCCCGAACGTGGGCTGTTAATGGTTTGCTTGTCCCCGAACGTGGGTTGTAGATGGTCCGCTTGTCCCCGGACGTGGGATGTAGATGGTCCGCTTGTCCCCGGACGTGGGCTGTAAATGGTCCGCTTGTCCCCGGACGTGGGCTGTAAGCGGTCCGCTTGTCCCCGAACGTGGGTTGTAGTTGGTTCGCTTGGCGCGAACGTGGGTTGTTATGGTCCGCTTGTCCCCGGACGTGGGCTGTAAATGGTCCGCTTATCCCCGGACGTGGGCTGTAGATGGTCCGCTTGTCCCCTGACGTGGGCTATAATTGAGACCTGCAAAATAAAATTTGCCAGGGGACTCGTATAGACTATGATTGACTTGACCAACTAACTTGACCAAGTTTGACTTGGCACGACATGACATGACATGAGTATGACTTGTGATTGTGTGTGTATAGTTTGAGTGTGTGTGTGCAGACATAAGCAAACGAAGATGCAAAAGCAAAAATTTTCCTTCAATTTTTGTCATGAGTGGAGGGTACCGACTTTCTCCCGAAAAAGAAAGACATAAAAAATGAAATTTTATTTTCGAACTTCCCTCGATAAAAAATTTGAAAAAGTTTTTGAACTTCCTCAAAATAAAATAATGAAAAAGGGAAGAAGTTTTGAACTTCCTCCTTGAGCAAGACGAAATGAATTGTATGGATTTAATTGCTTGTCCTGAAAATAATGTATGCATGATGCATGTTCTTAAGCCAGGAGGCTAAGGACAATTACATCATGTGACACGATAGATGAATGAACTTAAGTGATGGAGCGAAGCATCATATATGGTGTAAAGAAGCGATCTTGAACGTCACTTAGGTCTGGAAGCTAAGCACGTATATAGATGAAGTGAATATGAACGTATGTAAAGAGTTGCAAATTATTGCAAATTGACAGGTAGAAAAAATAACAGATGCCAGAGTTACTCATTCTAGATTAATGCTGCCTGGTCATGCTCGAGTCACAATTACAGAAGATATTGTGCCGACTGCTCTCTTGCCATGTCCTAATGATGAATTAGTCTATGTTTGTCATGCAAAGAAAAGCTACACACCTTGGCCGATTAACTTGATTTTTCCAAGAAAGGTATGAAATTTAATTAATGATCTGTATATGTTTGCATTGTAATATTTTTCAGCATTGGTTATTAATGGGCATTTTTTTATGTATGCGAATTCTTTTAGAAAAAATCAGCTTAATCTAACCACATATCTAGAAAATGTCACAACATATATAGTGCTTAAAATTTTTCCATATATATATATATATATATATATATATATATATATATATATATATATATATATATATATATATATATATATATATATATATATATATATAGTTATAATGTCTCTTATTCATCATTCTATAAACCATTACCCACCAAGAAAAAGTGTTAAATATAACAACACCATCTCCACATTCAACATCATCTCAAGTGGCCACGACTCTTAAGTACGTTATCACCGAAAAGGATCGTGAGATGGTGACTTCCACATGGTTACGTGTGTTAAATACTCATGCTATGGTATTGAAAAAAAGGGGTGTGACACTCTCCATACCAATTCCAAAATGCATGTTTCTTAATGAAGACGTGGGTGTGACGCTTGACTACGAGGACTTGTTAGATTGGTGTTTTAAAAGAGAGGTTGGAGAATCCCAAATGAACGTTTTCATAAAGTGAGTGTCTTTTTTTACCAATTATTTCTTTACTCTTGAATTTATTTGTGTATTAACTTCAACATATACAACTTTTGATGAGGCAAGGTACTTGGAAGGTCATTGTCAGAATGAAGGTGTCTCGGGTATGTACGGATTCTGTGACACAAATGTTTTATCTCCAATGACACCAACTACAGATGAGGAGGTTCGATCCGACTATCTTTCTCGTGTTTTTGGATGCAAGGAGGGAAATAATGTCAATCAACTCTTCTTTGCTCATTATAATGACAAGTAAGTGTACGTAGTATGTGTATTCTATACAATTACTATTCAATAATATTCACCATTGATTTTGCTGATATAATCACTATCATTATGTGTAGTATGCATTGGAGGTTAACTGTTATTAGTCCCTGGAATGGACTAGTGTGCTGGTTAGATCCGGCTGGGGAAGAAAATGAGATCAATGAGTTTGCTAAAAAGATCATAAATGAGTACGAGTTAGAGTAATTATCCAAAAGTTTTGTTTTTGCATTATATATGCTCTATTATTAATTATTCAATTCATTGTTTTTGTCAAACAATGTCACAATTCTATAGGGGATTAAAAAAATTCAACATGGTCCATCGAAAGGACATCAAGAAGATAAAAAAGAATCCATATATTGAGTGGAAGCAACCTAAGGTACGTCATTTTAGTTTATACTCTTGATATTAAAAGAATAATGTGTCATTTAAATGCTTGTGTTATTATAATTCCAAATTTTCATGCATTTATAATTTGAATGTCTTTTTTAACAGTGTCCTCGACAACCTCAATACTCCAAAGTTTGTGGATACTATGTTTGTCGCTATATGCTTGAGATTATACAGAAAAGGGTATTGTGGGTTTCTGATAAGGTATGTTTATTAATTTGATTTATGCACACAAGTCGACCCTAGTTACTAAAATCAATATCATTTATGCATAATAAATTTTATAATAAGGTTCTAGATATTTTTACACTTAATTTGACAAAGTGAAGGTCGTTTAGGGCTTATTTGAACAACGCGGGTGCAAATTACCCTCAAATGACTCATTTTAATCCTACCATTGCATATTTCAACCCATATCATTATATTCATTTGTTTGTATGTGTAATTATTTTTTAATATAGTTATAATATAGCATCATCTTCCATTATGAATGAGTTATGACCACATACGACGATTTATTGTTTATCTTGCAGTTTTTTCAAGCGGACCCCTGTACATATTCAACTGAAAATATTGACGAAATTAGAGACTTGTGGGCTAAGTATGTTTTAGAGCTTGAACAAGATGACATTAATGAAGGAAATGAAGATGGTATGGACATTGCGTGAGTTTAGTTTGTCCATTAATTTTGGGAAAAGTATTGCAAATTTTAGAATTTTTTGTATAAAACTTTTGGAGGTAATCTAAGATGGCATGAAAATTAAAAGAGTTTTGTTTATATTTTTGGGAATTGAATACTAGATTTTGTTTTGCAGATGTTGATGTATAGTATTTTTGGAGTTATATAGTAATTAATGGATATTTGTAAAAGTGTTTATCAACTTTTATATTATTATATGCTTCATGAATATTATAAAATTATGGAGTAATGTATATGATGTGCATATAAATAGCAGGTGAAAAATATAGGTACATATGTCCTACAGGTGCCATACAGAAATAAATACAGCTCATATACCGTACAAGAACAAATACTATAATTGAATTTTTGGCAAAAAAAACTAAAAAATAAAAATAAAATAAAAATAACAAAGAGGCCTGTTGTCGTTACTAACAGGTCTCTTAAATAACAACTATGAAACCTGTTGGCCATGGTAACAAGTCTATTTGCTGTCTGAAATTTAAAAAATAATCACACGCAAAGAGACCTGTTGTCTTACTTCTTAGGTCTCTTATTAATACCAAAGAGACATGTTCTATTGACCAGGTCTCTTAACCAAAGAGACATGTGAGCTAGAGACCTCCTAAGAAGAGGTCTCTTATGTCTATTTAAACAGGTCTCTAAGGCATATTTTGTAGTAGTGGATCATATATTATGTTGTGGGTTTAGGAATAAATACCATGTGTGAATTTGGCACGGTGAAGGTGGAGAGTACAGTGGGGATCTTGATCGGAATTATGTGCGTGTTAGAAGCGATAAGATTCATGTGGATGAGGAATACAAGAATGATGACTATATTGTTGATAATAGTGAGGATGAAGCCGATGATGATCAGGCGGATGAGGTCGAGGAAGAAGGCGTGGATGAGATGTTGCATGGTGTTGAAGGTGGCGTGTTTGAGTTATTATCAGAGGCTTCCAAAATGCCTTTGTATCCTGGGTGCAAAAAATACTCTAAACTATCGGCCAAGCTAACACTTTTCAACATTAAGTCGAAGCATGGTTGGACAGACATTAGTTTTACTTCTTTGTTGACCGCATTAAGTGATATGTTTCCTGATGGGAATGAAATTCCTAAGTCTTACTATTATGCAAAGACACTCATGTGTCCCTTTGGTTTGGAATATAAGAAGATACATGCATGTCCTAATGTTTGTATTCTTTATCGAAATGAGTATGGACAATTGCAAGAGTGTCCATGATGCAATCTGTCACGCTACAAGAGCATGAGTTGCAAACCTAGTACGGAGGGACCTCCTGCTAAGGTGTTGTGGTATCTTACCATTATTCCAAGGTTTAAGCGTCTATTCTCAATACCGAAAGACGCTAAAAACTTAAGGTGACATGCAGAGGGAAGAAAGAAAAACAGAATAATGAAGTATCCAGCTGACTCCCCGCAGTGGAAGAACATTGATTTGAAGTTTGAGAAACCGCAGTGGAAGAACATTGATTTAAAGCTTGAGAAATTTGGTGATGAAGTTAGAAGTTTAAGGCTTGGGTTGTGCACGGATGGGATGAATCTATTTGGCACTCTTAGTACCCAACACATCACATAGCCGGTACTTTTAGTGATTTATAATTTGCCTCCTTGGCTGTGCATGAAATGCAAGTATGTAATGCTTTCATTGCTAATAACGGGGCCTAGGAAACCTGGAAACGACATAGATGTTTACCTTGTGCCGCTTATTGACGACTTGAGAAAGATGTGGGACGAAGGGGTTTCCGTTTTCGATGCTCATCAGAACGAGATGTTCACATTGCGTGTAGCCCTTATGTGGACCATGAATGACTTCCCTGCATATGGCAACTTGTGTGGGTACAAGGTCAAAGGAAAAAAGGCATGCCCCATATGTATTGATGACACATCAGGCGTATACCTTAAGAATTCTCGCAAATATGTCTACTTGCGGACTCGAAGGTTTCTTAGGCATGATCACCCATACCGTAGGCAGAAAAAGGCTTTTGATGGGACAGTGGAAGAGGATACTGCGCCTAGACCATTGACTGGTGCTGAGATTTTTGCTCGGGTGAAGGGTATACGAATGGTGTTTGGAAAATCAGAAAAAATTGTGGTCTCAGCTACTCTATTTAAGAAAGAATCAATCTTTTGGAAGCTTCCGTACTGGAAAGAACATGACGTTAGGCACTGTCGTGATGTGATGCATATAGAGAAGAATGTGTGTGATGCTCTTTTGTGAACGCTTATGAATATTCAAGGCAAAATAAAGGACGGAAAGGGTGCATGGTTAGATTTGCTAGAGATGGGGATTCGTCCATAATTATGGGCTCAGGAAAAGGTTAGAAAGGGAAAGGAACCGGGAAAAGAAGATGAAAATGTTTCGAAAAATGGGAAGGAGAAGAGCAAGGGAAAGGGAAAAAGAAAGGCCACGAATGCGTCAAATAAGATAGTTGAGGGTAAAGGGAAGGATGAAAAGACTTATTTACCTCCAGCTTGTTATACATTGTTAAGGATAAAGAAACGTATGTTTTGTGCATGTTTGTATGGCATTATGGTTCCATCAGGGTACTCATCTAACATGAAAATATTTGTATCCTGGAATGGAGAATTGAAGCTGACAAGTATGAAATCCCATGATTGTTACATTATGATGCAAGTATTCCTACCGATTGCAATCCGTGGTATTTTACCGAAGCACGTGAGGGAAGAGATTACAAGCCTTTGTTCGTTTTTTTAATACAATATGCAACAAAGTGCTTGATCCTTGTACACTAGATGCTTTGCAAGCGGATGTGGTTGTGACTTTGTGCAAATTTAAGATTTATTTCCCACCCTCATTTTTTGACATAATGGTTCATCTGATTCTTCATTAGGTGCGTGAGATTAAGTTGTGCTGTCCAGTGTTCATGAGGTGGTGCTATCCTTTTGAAAGACACATGGGTACATTGCAAAATAAAGTATGGATGCGGGCTCACCCGAAAGGAAGTATGATGCGAGGGACCGTGGGTGAGGAGATAGGTAACTTTGTGGTGGACTATATAGCCGTTGCTCAACCTATTGGTCTTCCTAGTTCTCGACATGAAGGGAGACTTGATTTCATGGAACAATTGGGTCAAAACGAATGTCACTTGATCGAGATCAGTTCTTACAAGCACACCT